GTTATACAAGATGTTTTCCACATCAAAATATATAATATAAAATAACAAGTAATAAACAACCTTAATCTGTACCTGAGTTATGCACATATAATTGTTAGAAAAAAAATAACAAAACTATCAGGCCATAAGATGTATCTAAATATTTTGGCGGCATCACATACCGTTAAATCTCAACAACGTACTTGGCGTTTTAATTTCGAAACCTTTATTATACATTTATACGTATATATAAATAATCTATAAAAGTGGTAGCTATTAATTATTATGGATATTATTATACATTCTACGACAAAATATGTGTATACGTATTATTGTTATTATAACACTGCARTCATTATGAGTGCGTGCATTTTTATAATGTTTGAAAAAAATAAAAAACCCTTAACAGTTCTAAATTCGCGTATATACGACAAAACAATACTATGTAGTAGGCTGTAGTTGGGTATACATTTTTAAAGCGGGGAAGGAGGCTTATTTTATTGCTAAGCGCCCATCATCGCTATATCGCGTATAAAAAGCGATTTATTATCATAATATATCATCATAATATACCTGTCATACATAATATAATATAATATGGTATATCGTGTCTCGTACATATTTCGGATTATATGACGACGGATTTCGAGACCGAAGCGTCCGACACTTGCACATTGTATATAGAATAATATGTACCAAGTAAGTCGAAACTTTGGGCGGGCGGTCCCGCGGTCGGAGGGCGTCTGGAGCGCGGGTCCCGYGAGCTCGGACGCCATTGGTCCGTCTCCAGGCGGCCGGTCCCTTTCTCGACCCCGCCGTGACAGACCCTTCGCCGGCTCACTCGCGTCGCATTCACACGCGCTCGTCATAGTATACGTTATTATATACGACGAGATATTGTGCTGGATCGTCATCCGTTCGTCGTACACCGTCCGCACGACTCGACGAACGATCGCGGTATAAGTGCATAGTTGAATTGCAGTGTTTTTGGGGCGAATGGGACGGAACACGGAGCATTTGCCTTAAGCACGACATCGAGACGACGACGACCGATTCGTCTCATAATAGTTATTATCAAATATTAAAAGCGTGACACTCGTGATTTTTCGACCGTCCCGCGTTCAGGCTGTATAACACATTATAGGCGCCGATAATATATCATTATTATTATTTGTTTCGCGGCGTCCGAGGAAACCGAGATACCTTATAACCACCGGACACAGGGCCGCAGACACGTTATTTTTCCACACCATAGCAGTGTATAATAATATAATTTAACGAATTCGGTGGATGATTATTGCGCGCGCCGGCCGTACCCTATAGACACGTTTGCACACGCTGCACGGATGACCGAGGACAAGAATCTCACTCCGTTTTCCATAGCGGACATACTTAAAAGCGACGACCATGTGGCCCGCCAGGGAGACGACGACGTGGCCGTGGCGGCACCTGCTGCACATCACGCCAAGAACTGCGCTGACGGAGCGCTGGACATGACCAATAACAACAAATGCGCYAACAAAAAAGGCAAGTCCACATATTATTATTATTATTATGCTGTCGAGCTAAGCTATTTCTTTGTAATATAATATATTACCATATCTATATAATATAGATATTTAATTATGAGCGATAAACCCATTTAAACTGGTTATTGTTTTATACCGTAACAAATATTATAATACCGCTTATTTTAGTATTGAAAATATTACGTAGTACATCACTCTCGAATCTTTTCATACATTATTTTAGTCGTATAATTAATAATTTATTTGTTTGCTCGGTAACAAGTTTTGTACAGATATTATGTATCTTTATTAATACAGTTTAGATTTTATGAAAACGTACTCCAAGTTATACCTATACTAGATACCTACAATTACAATTACAATCAASTAAAAGAACTGATATTTCAGTTAAGCAAGAAGTGCGTTTAGAATATTTAACTCATTCCGCGTTATCCATCGTGRAAATTAAACAACATAACATTATTTCGGATATATCATATTTTTACGATTTTCAACTCTAAAATTCTCATTTAAACAACATTTGTAGACAAAATTATATTTTATGATTTATTAGTTATTTTTATAAAAAGTTTTTACTATAAATTAATGTACCTTACTTATACATGTTTATTTATATATTTATAATATGTATCTATGAGTAAATAAATAGCTTAATATTTAATATTAAGCCCCAATTGCATACATATTTTTTTGCGCAACRTATGCCATTGGGTGTGGAATGGTACGGTAGGGATTATTTTGTGTATTTGTATATAGGTTTTTAAGTTGGTAGATTATAACACGTATTTGTGTATGTGTAGCAAGGATATGCTGCTAAAAATCCCGGGTGGTCACCCATCCGGAAGCTAGTAACTGGGGCCCGTACGTACGCTCAGCACGTTTCCGCAGATTGAGTGTACGCCAACAAAGCCACTGCAGCGTTCACAGAAAATTTTTTTTTTGTAAAATGTCAAGACCTGCTGCACTGTGCAGCACTATTACAGAATGTCAATAGTGTTTGTTCTTCTATTGATTACCTACGATATTGAATACTTGTCAATTTCGTCGAGTTTATCTTCTCGTCGACATGAACGAGGAGGACTATAAAAATTAGGAAAGCCAACAACCAGGACAAAAAAAAAATTTTCTGTGAACGATTTTTCTAAACTTCGGTCAATTTCACTTTTCAATATTCGAAAACTGTAAAAGTTTTTTTCAAAAGATATTGTATCTAAAATTATGARATTTGCAAACATATTACTTACTTTATATTACACGGTACGTCCTATAAGTCTTGAGACTAATGTTACTGAAGTTACAAAAAAAAATTAAAAAATGTTTTAAGCAATTTTTTGTTCAATATATAGTCACCATGATTCTATACACCTTCTCGCATAATCACCCAATTTTTCCATAGCCCGTGAAAAGTTAGCTTCAGGAATGTTCTTAAACTTTTGGGTTGTCACTTCTTGAATCGTTTCAGTGATTGTAAAATGGTGCCCCTTGAGCTCCATCTTAAACTTTGGGAACAGGAAATAGTCCGGAGAACTCAAATTTGGTGAATACGAGGGGGGTGGGCGAGGATTGGAATCATTTTTTGGCCAAAAATTGAGTGACAATCAAGAATCAACGTAGTGTGTGCTGGAGCGTTATTGTACAAAAAGCAAAAGATCGATATTTCCACAAAACAGGCCTAACGCGTACAATTCTTTTACAGAGACGATCCAAAACGTTTTAGATGTTAATAACTTCCCAGGATTTTATAATTATCTAGATACTATAGTATTAATTTTAGAATGGTTGTTTCAAAACTTATCGGACGCACTGTGTTTAGTATTATTTTATTATTACTTAAGAAATTGACAGTATATTTAAAATCACATTAAATCCAATGAGTAATCAAACGTAAGAAGTTTACTTATATTATACTTAAGATCATAGATAAGTTTAGATATATAATTAAATTCTTATTTTCAAAAGCCAAAACTAAAAAGTTCTACGTTASCCTTTCTTATTGGGTATTCGGACCTTTTTAACCAATATATTTATTACTTAAAGTGATTTTATTTGTTCAAATTCGTTTTGATCATGTTAAATGAAAGTTGAATAATACAAATTTGATTATATTGTTTAACACAAATTCAGTACACAAATATATTTTTCTTTTTTTCTAATTTAAACGAATATGGTATCGTATTTTTTATCGAATTTTATCTAAATACAAGTATTTAGTGATTTTATTTTTTGATTGGTAATATATATTGAAATTTGATGGAGTGGTTGGAAAAATATGAAAATTAGTAAAATTAGCTTTAATTGTTATTCTCTTTACACTCGTCAATTGTTTACCATATGATTTGATGTTAATAGACTTATTTGCCAATTAAATAATACCAATATAATTGTATTGATTCATTCATTTTATTTCATGTTAGAGAGTGTATACAATATACATCTATAATTTATTTATCAGATCATTGTGGATTCTGACTATGACTATAGAGTTTAAATGTTTCACTAAAGGAAGGGAAAATTAAAACGTTCATGTTTTAATGTAAACATAATTCTTAATTTAAGAATAAATAAACAGAATTAAAACGTTTGTTCATTTAATAGTATTCATAAACATATAGATAAATGTGCCCACTAATAGTGCGTTTGGTATAAGATATAAGTATATAAATAGTTTATTTTCATAATAAATCAACACTTTAAAACGAAAGTTATTTGGCCACACTTAACAAACGACATATGAAAATRTTAAAACCAATTTATTTTTCACAAACATTTTTGTACTTATTGAAAGAATTTTAAATTTTCAACGTGCAAGTAAAGTTAGCTTTTGAATTCGTATAATGTTTGTAATTATGAATATTACACGAGTCATAATATATGATAGTAGGTACTTTACTTATAGGTTCTATATATAGTACCTTTAAGTAGAAATTTAGTGATTACCGAATATCAGTACCTATATATGCCATATTACCATTTGAAAATTGCCAACATAAAATATTATCTAAGTTCTCATGAATTATAATAAAAACACTGAGATTCACCAAGCATACTTACTCTCCATGTTTTCATTTAATATTAAGAATTCATTCAAGTTCTGGTTTTTAGATTTAAAGAGTGCGCTGCAGTAATACAACTTGAATAATTTTTTAAATGAGAACCTCCCTTTGTTAACTGTAAATTATTTGGTGAATAATTTGTTTTTGAAAATTCAAATGAAAAGTTTTTTAGTTATTAAAATGTTTATATCAAGGATAATAGTGCTTAAATAAGGTTTTACAATGGTTAAAAATAGATCTAATATCGGATTAAGAATTTATTATATTTGAATCGTTTTTATAAATGATATAGATTAATAGATTAATATAAATTAATACATTTTTAAATTTTTTTTAACGGTCATTGTCTCCATATCTTCAAACACCTTACCGTAGACATATAATGATCCTTAGAATACATATTTAAATAACTCAAGTTATAAACTAGTTGTTTAAATTTTGATTTTAAAAGGTATAGGTATATAACAATATTTTTAAAAAGTTATTTATTTTCTCATTTTAAAAATAGAAATTTGTATCACCCCCCAGGCCATTTAAAAGTAGTACAAAAAAATTCAAAAATATAGTTTTAAATATTTCAAAAATAGGAGTTTTAATGAATTGATTATTTAAAGTAAACGACGGTGACAAAACTTAGAAGATATACATACTCTGTATGTTAATTTTTATTAATTGACAATTTCTTGTATTTTTAAATTTTTATCTTTTATTCCATGACAATTTTAAATTCAAATTTTAGAACCTACGCATATTTATTATTTCTACTTTAAAAGCTACCATAAAATTCCATACCTATTCATTATTGTCAATTTCATTTGAATCATAATGTACTCATAGTTGCCACGAATATGGTATCATTTCGTTTAAGTGAAAGTCCATCATACTGTCTTCTATACATTGGATTTTACTTATACTCGTGTATGAGGCGTAATTTTAAAAATTGACGTTCATTGGATTGCAGGTGTTATGTAACATAATGTCACCGTGATTTTTCCGTAGCAGATGAATCGGCCTGTTTTCAGTTATCACTACCTATACTTAAGCAATTCTATAAATTTTCTATGGATTAGGAGTATGCTGCAGGAACATATTGGTTCTGCGTTTTTTAATTATTACATATTATATAAATGTAAAGTATTAAAATATAATATATAATATGTTTACGTACTTAAGTTACTTATCGTTTTATTTTAATCACATTATTGCTTTTAAGTATATTTCTATACGTTACGTGGGATGGTCAAAAACAATCATAATGGACCAGAAGGTTTTTGAAGTGTACACATTTAAAATGATGATAGCATAAATATATAGAGACTCTCCTGTAACAACAGCAGCGGTAGTTGCAGCAACAACAGCAATATCAGACGACATAACGATATTCTATTATACACGGACATAATATACCCATTAAACGATTAAACAGCCGAAAAACGAAAATTAATTTTAATCGTGAKAATACCGCAGTAATCACGATCGTGGTTGATGTTCAGCGGAGGGGAGTGTATGTTTAAGTCGCCACTTATTACGTCACCGATGACTATTTTAAATACATACTAATAATAATATAATAAAAAAATGTRTGTATACACCGTGGCCCGRCCGAATGACTGTGTGGTGCACGATGTATGTGTTTAATACCGCATCATTGATGATATGAATACTAGTGTTTACAATCAATGGCGTTATACTACGTATATTTTATAATAGTATAGTTAGGTGAAATGATATTATAGTTTTCTCTCTCTCTCTCACTCTCTCTCTCTCTATCTCTTCCAATATTTCTCCCTCTCGTCCACACCTCATCCAGTAGGTCAAATTTCACGCTCTCCACCGGGTCATCATATTTCATATATCTCATTCGTTTTGATCTGTAGAAACTYTTCCGATCGAATCTGTCCGTCTATAGCACGAGAGCTCATGCCTTTGATTATCCACTTGAACG